TAAAAATCTATGCATTCTTTCATGATATCTGAGTTTAAAATAGATAATAATTTATATGTAACACTTCAGTTACTCTAGTCTCAGAAGGAGAAATCTGAACTCTGGCTTTCAATATTATGAGGGTTTTTGTTTCTTTAGTTATTGTTATTTTTCTTTAAGTATGCTTACATCTAGTGATAAAGTCACTTATTAAGCAAGAATACATTATAGTTTTCTTTACATCTTGAAGCAAATGTTACAGTTTCATATAAAAAGACTGGTAGGCGTAAACACTTCTTTTACACATTTTGGGAGCTATTTATGACAAAATATGAGAAATGGAATTCAGAAATGGGAAAATCAATATTGGAGCATTTTCTTATTAATGCATTTATGAAACAATGTGAAAAATAAAAAGTAATTTCAAGTTCTAGTCCTCAGAAACCCGATGGGATTCCAGGTCTGTGTCCAAATATACACAGGAGGAATCTGGATCATCTCATTTCACAGACAAGTAAAGAAGACTGCTGAGGACTAATGAAAAGGACTTAAGAAGCAACAAAAGGAGGTTTTACTAGCCAAATCTGGGATAATTTGAGCATAGTGTACTCAACAAGCAATCAATCCAACCAATAAAAAACATAATGATTATGTTTAGAGGATGCTGGGAAACCAAAATATTTTGCAAAGTTGTAAATAATTAAAGAAAAAGAATCAAGCATCTACCTTGCTTTTCTTCTACAGGAACTGTAGGTAAGTGTACCAGAGAGTTGATGAGAGTTTTACTTTCTAGAAGATTTTCAGGTAATAATGAAGAAAGAATGATAAACTCAGAATATCACCACTTTGCAAACCGTAATAAAATAATGAACCTCAATGATGATCAACAAATCATTAGTGAACAGCTGAAGGATAACTGTACAACAAATGTGTCAAGTTCACAATAATTGAGAGCTTGTATTCAAGAGAAACCTAGACATCATGTACATCGTGATAAAAAAAAAAATGGGATACACAACACAATCAATGAAAAATACTGGTCAAAAGAAATGTGGATTTGAATCTTATCCAGCCTCTATCTCTAACAACCAGTATACAGGAATTACAGCCAACAGAAAAATATATGAAAAAGTTAGCAGTCAGCAAAATCCACAACGTGGGGCTCTATAAAGAACAAACCAGCCTACATCTTCAATTAATTCATTGCAAGGAGGAAAAAAGGATATGAGAATTCATAGACTGGAAGATACCCAGGAAACATAATCTAATTACAATTTGAGGGACTCATTTGGATCTCGATTAGAAGAAACCAATTATGAAAAGAATCTTATGAAGCAATATGGAAACTTGAACACTTATTGGCTATTTGATTATAAAAAGAAAGTAACGGTAATATTTTTCGGTGTGATAATAGTAACGCGAATTTGTTAAAACAAAAAGTCCTTAGCCTTTAACAATGCATGCTCAAACATTCACAGATGATATACTATAATGTGAGAGTTTCCTTTAAAATAATTTGAGGTTGTAGAAAGAGATTAAGTGGATGAAGATTAGCCATTTGGTGATAATTACTGAAGGTAGGTTATGTGCACTTAGGGGTTTATTATTCTGTTCTGTTTTTTTTAAATGTATGTTTGAAGTTTCCTGTAATAAAAACAACAAAAATATTTAAAATGCCATGCAATATGACCTCTATTAGGGATGTTTACTCCCAAAATGACAACTTCATTAATACTGAAAAATAAGTACTAATAAGAAATGTCTTACTATCCAATTCCGTACTTAATTAACAATCTTTTTTGAAGTCAAAAATTGGTTTTGATAATTTGTTAATTTCATAATTTGTATTGGTATTTATATATGTCATCTTATTTATTGCTCAGAACAGTTAACATATGTGATATTTAAACATCAGCAGATGTTTAGTTTTTGAATACCTATAAATTTGGTGAATAGCCACCCGATTAGTCCTTCAGGACCAGCAAACCTTTTTTCACAAGGACAGACAGGTTATATTTTAAGCTTTGTGGCAATACAATCTCTGTCATAACTATTCAACTCTTCTAATGCAGCACAAAAACCGCCATAGATGACACGCAGATGAAAGGGCATGATCCTGTTCCAGTAGAACAAGCAGCGGGCTGGATCTGGCCTGAGCACTGCAGTGTGTCACCTTCAGACAATTATTAGTTCAAATCAGTATGGTGTTGATAAAACAAGAGGAAACAGGTAAGAAGAGGAAGTCCAGATTTTAATATATATGAAAACAGAATAAATGGCAAGGGTGGTATTTTAATTCAGTGAGAAAAGGGTAATGAATTTTATCATTTTAATAAAAAATGGTGACACACCTAATATCCACACAGAAAAGTTATTTTAGACCCTTAACCACATTATTTATAAAAGCATATACAGATCTGATTAAATATTTAAATCTAGACAACAAAAATGTATTATCATCATCAAACTTGCTAAGAGACTAGAACTTAATGATTCCAACCACTGAAAAGAAAGGATCATTATGTAACATGATAGAGGGGTAATTATTGCCATAATGGCAATCATATTACAATACATAAATGTGCCAAACTAACATGTTGTACATCTTAAATTTGCACAATGTGACATGTCAAATACATTTCAATAAAAAATATTTAAATATGCAAAGTAAACCAATAATAGGCTTAGAAAAACTTTTCATAATTACGTATATTTGATCATTTGGGAAGAGTTTCTAACCAACACAGAAAACTTAGAGGAAAAGGACATATTTGACTATATGAAAATTAAAACTTTTATGCAGTAAAATTTTTCATAAACAAATTTAATAGACAAACGATACACTTGGGCTAGTATTTGCAACGTAGGTGGCAGGGAGTACCTAAAATTTGATGGAAAAGACAATCCAACAGCAACATAAGAAAGGAAAGGGGTGGCAGAGAATGCCTGTGGCCTCCTCATGTGTATTCTCACCTTCTTTCCTAATAATAGAAACCTGCTTTTAAGCCTGGCCTTCTGCCAAAAATGTAAAACACTACTTTTCACAAACAATGTGATAACTATGTGCAGCGGCACCTACCTTCCAGCCAATGTGAAATAGGTGGGAAAAACGAATAGGTGCATTTAAGGAAGACTTATTTGAAAGGGACAGAGCAAGCACTTGTTCCTTCTCTCCCTGCTTCTCAGTGTCTGCAACGTAGATTTAATGGCTGAGGTTCCAGCCCACGACAGAGGACCAAGGAGAATATGCTAAGCATGCAGAGCACAGAGGGGACCCGGAGCCCAGGTCACAGCAGAAAGCCCCAACTCTTGCACAGCCTCCCTCTAGATCTCTTTTTTAACAAGGAGAATCCACTTTCTATATAGTTCATGGTACTGTTATTTGGAGTGTTTCATTTAGTGCCGCTGAGTCTAGCTCTAACCAACAATAAGAAAACAACTCACATAAAAGCAAAATGATCAGCCAATAAACACGTGGAAAGATGCTCAAACACAAATTAAATTAACAGGGAGATATTAGATAACATCCACCACACTGATAAAAATTTAAACAATGGATAATAACAGCAGACGGCCTGGATACAGGGGAGACTCACATACTGCCAGAGGATTGTGAATTTCCACAGCCTTTTTAGAAAATGAATGGATAATACTAACAGAATCTTTGACCCAAAAAGTCTTCTCATGGGAATCTATCCCACTTAGGAAGAAAAAAAGAATTTGAGGATTTAAGGAAAGTACAGGATCTTTGTTATAGCATGTAGTAGTAAAAATCAACAGAAACAGTGTAAGTGATATCAATAAGTGATATCAGTAAGCATATGGATGAATAAATCATTACCAGATTTATTATGAAGGAATTAAAAGAAATAAATTGGAGGCATACTAACTGACATGGCAGGATTTCCACAAGGGATGCTTAAGTAATGAATATGGATTCTTTGAGCCTAGGTTTCTAAAAGTTAACAATGATAACATATATGAATAAGTGTGAGTTTGGGTATGTTTGATGATAGAAATGAAACATTTGTATTGCAGAATACAGAAAAAAAGATACGTGTATAGACTATACAAAGATCATTTACTATAAATATGTAAACCCTATATATATCATATATACAATATATGAGCATAGTGAGACATATGAAATTATAAGCACATTGCCATGGAGTAACTAGGGTAGGGACAGAGTCTGATGTGGATAAAGAGGAGTAGAGCCAAGCAAACAGGAAATAGAGAAAAACAATACATTACTCACTCGAAAAAGAGTCTATACAATTGCTTATATGATCTTATCATTGTTATACCTGTGTGTGTGTGTATGTGTGTGTGTGCGTGTGAATGATGTAGGAATAATCACCAAAATACTAGTGGCTATTGCAAAATGATTACAAAAGGTATTTTATGCTGCAAAATAATATGTATTATTTTTATCTAAAGTCTTTAACCTCAAATTGTACTAGTTTCATTACTAAACAAACAATTACCAATTCATCTCAAGAATTTTCACAATCTACAGAAACATACTCTGAGAACTGGCAGCTATGACAACATCAGTATTTATGCGACATTAGGATCTCTGCAGTCTCCAAGAAAGCAACTTAGGCCACAGCTGCTGCTTAGAGCAGTGTCGACTGTTTTGGTTTTTGATTTTTAGTATTTATTTATTTTTACATTTTAACTGAATAGATTTTGAGACTCATTTGCAATTATATTAGATAATTTATAAGAAAAATTGTTACTCCCTCCTTTTGAAAAATGATACATTTTAGCACTTTAAAACGCTTCTAGAAACAAACAAGTGAACTAGTCAAGTCAATAATAACTTATCCTTATAATTAATAGATGATGCATACAGCTGACTGCCCTACATACATCACTTCCGCAATGTATATCTCATATGTATCCTTCATTCTTCAAGAGCATTTGAATCATGAGCTGAAGCCAGAAACCTAATTATTTACAATAAGCTTATTTCTCCAGCGATGTATCACATATAGGTATCATCTTTATTTCCTCACCCAAAATATTTTTAGAAGGATATTTATTCCGTCATGTACATAACCAAGGAACGAATAGGAAGGAAGGTGGCGTGATCCTTCTCACATCATGGTGGCTACTAGATTTGAAGATCAGCCAAGGAAGTGAGCTGTTGGAAAGAACTTTATCTTAAATATTGACAACAGATAAGAGTGGAAGAACTATTTGTAAATCTAAGAAACAAGCTCATTAATTAATAATAAATTCCTTCTAAAAAAGTACAAAGGATAAGAAACACCTCAGCAACTGATAAAATAGGTGACAATATATTTTGATATTGCTGACATATTTTGACAAATTGGTGACAACATATTTTGGACATGAGGATAAGGACAATCATGCCAAGTATAACAATGTCTAGAAAATGGAGGTGAAATTCTCCATGGAGGCTAGGTACAAGCAATATGGTACCAGATGTAAAATGCTGAGAAGATGAGACAATGTGGGGAGGGGGAAAGGAAATCATGTGGCTGCTATGGAGGTTGTAATAACTCTCCAAACTACAGCTATGGCTGCTGACATCAAAAGACAGCCTGCACATACAGAGAATAAGAGAAGACTCTTTACTTAAATTCAAAGAAACACAATCCAATAGCCATTTGGAAAGGTCTACCTTGGCCACTGTTGGTCCACAGACTTCTTTTTTAAATTTTGTTGTCCTTCATCCACTTCTGGTGGAGACGTGTTCTTCTTGAATCTAGAATATAGAAGGTCATATTCTGCAGGTAGAAAATTCTGGTGTAAATAATGGAGCTGGCTAGATTGGAATGATAAGCAAATCAGACACAGATTTTTGAGAACTCCTCTATCCTGATGCTGTGCTTCACATTGTTACCATAAGTATCAAGTCCCATTAAAAGAAAAATTCCTCCAGAAGTGTCTCACTAAAAAGATAAAAAGTTAACGGGGCCGGCTCCGTGGCCGAGTGGTTAAGTTCGCGCGCTCCGCTGAGGGGGCCCAGGGTTCGGATCCTGGCGCGGACATGGCACCGCTCGTCAGGCCACGTTGAGGCGGTGTCCCATATCCCACAACTAGAAGGACCTCCAACTAAGATATACAACTGTGTGCAGTAGGGGTTTGGGGAGATAAAGCAGAGAAAAAAAAAAAAAGAAAAAAGTTAAGTGACTTCCTTGAGTCATACTTGTACAGCAGGGATTTTAGGAAACAATTCAACCTTAAAATAAGACTGGCCCCATGACAGAAAGCACCAGCTAGGTGGCAATATCTCGCAGGCCTGGGGCAAGGTTCTCAAGGAGGCTGTATATGCTCTGACTCAGTGCCCAACATATAGTGTGGTTTCTCTAATAGCCAGGATTCATGGGTCCAGGAATGTGGGGGTGGGGGGCAGAATGGGAGTGGCATCCCTCACTATTACCCCTAGTGACCCATAGCAAAATTTTTGATTCTTATTCCCATGACTTTGTTCTCTGCTGGCCTAGATGTCTTAGTTCCAGAGAGAGGAATGCTTCTACAAGGAGACATGACAATGATTTCATTGAACAGGGAGTTAAGACAGCCACCCAGATACTCTGGGCTCCTCATGCCTCTGAACCAACAGGTAAAGAATGGAGTTAGTGTTGGTTGGGGTGATTGATCCTGATTACCAAGGTGAAATTGGACTGTTACTCCACAACGGACGTAAGGAAGAGTATGTCTGAAATACAGGAGATCCTTTAAGATGTCTCTTAGTATTACCACCTCCTGTGATTAAGGTCAATGGAAAACTACAACAACCCAATCTAGGCAGGACTGCTGATGGCCCAGATCCTTCAAGAAAGAAGGTTTGGGTCTTCCATCAGGGCAAAGAACCACAACCAGCTGAGGTGCTTACTGAAGGCAAAGGGAGTACAGAATGGGTAGTAGAAGAAGGTCATTATAAAACCCAGCTGTGACCATGTGACTAGTTACAGAAACAAGGACTATAACTACCATGATTATTTTCTCTTTATTGAGTTATGAGTAAGTTTGTGTGTCTATATCTAAATACATTAAGCAAACATCTTTGTTTTGTTATTTCTTCTCTTATTCTTTTATCATGTAACATAAGATGTATTGACTCTGTATTGTATTCAAGGATTGTTAATTTTACATCATAGTATTTAAGTTACAGGATATGAGGAGAAGAGTAAACATCATCCAAGGACTTTATCTCCTCTTGTGGGGAAGGGATTAGTGTGTTTTCAGATGTATGCAAGATAAGTTGTATCATGTTAGGTGGAATTATGACCTTGGTATTATTTTTATTTGGAGATTAAGTATGATTTAAGGTGCTATGTATAGTTGTCAAGCTGACAAGGGGTGGACTTGTGATGGTTAATTTTATTTGTCGACTTGACTGGGCTGAGGGATGCCCAGATAGTTGGTAAAACATTATTGTTGGTTGTGTCTGTGAGATTGTTTCCTCACAATATTAGCATTTGAGTTGGTGAACTGAGTAAAGAGGATGGCTCTCCCCAATGTGGGTGAACATCATCCAATCCACTGACAGCTGGAATAGAACAAAAAGGTGGAGGAAGGACAAATTCCACCACTCTGCTTGAGCTGATACATCCATCTTCTCCTGCTCTCGGGCATCGGTGCTCCTGGCTCTTGGACTTTCAGACTCAGATCAAGACTTCCACCACCAGGCCCCCAAGTCTCAGGCTTCTGGACACAGACTGAATTACACCAGAAGCTTTCCTGGTTCTCCAGCTCACAGTCAGGAGCTTGTGGGACTTCTCAGCTTCCATAACCATGTTGAATCAATTCCTATAACAAATCTTCTTTTATATATCTCTCTCTCTATATATATCCTATTGCTTCTGTTTCTCTGGACAACCCTGACTGATGCACAATTGGACTTTAAAATAACACTTGCCCCATGACATCAAAAATCAGAGCCTTAATGGTTTAATGTACCATGACATCCAGTAGATTGGAGATTGTTTCTAATCATGAACAAGTAAATATTTTTAAAACCTAGTTTAAGGAGTACAAAAATTACGTCAGATTTACTTAAACAGGATCTCAACATGGCTATCCAAAACATTTGGAGGCTGCCTTCCAGGAAGAATCTCCTAACATGACAAGGGGAGCTAGAACTTATATATGCCTTAATTGGAAAGGTGGAGGATAAAAGAAGTGACTTTCCATGAAGAGGCAGCTTTTCAACCATAGTATTAAGGTGAAAAGAAAGCTTCTTCCACTTCAGGTGATATAAATCTAGTTCTGAAGACCAAGAGATAGTGATCGCAATCTCAACCAGAAACACATGACCTCGTAGGCCAACTGGATGCCGAAATGCCTTCTAAAAATACCTCTTCTCAATGAGATGACTGCACCTCAGAACCCTGTGCAACAAGGCCCAGTTGTGTCTTACAGAGCTTGGAGCTGAACATGTCTGATGTCCCGTTTTCCAGCATCCATGTGAATCACCAATGCCAGACTTTAATGACTACTACGTAGACGGCTGAGTAAATAACTCTTAATACAGTAAACATATATCAGATTGATAGGGAGACGTCACTTCATTTTACCTGGAAACAATGAAGATCTTTAAAATAATGTAAATTGTTCTGAATTCCAAGAAATTCATAATTATGGGCTCCATCTAGTTCCAGGGGGTAAAAGGACTTAAATATTAAGGCTGCTTCCTAGGAGAGTCAAATTTGGAAATCTTGCACTTCCCATATATAAGGAAAGATCAAAAAGATATCCGATCCCTTATCCCTGGAGAATGAAGTAACGCCATCATCAACACTTCGGCTAACTAGAAACATAGGCAAATACAAAAAGGGGAAGAAAAATGAAAGTTTGTCCTCAGGAGAGCCAAATTTGAAAATGCAATAGTTCTCATATATTAAAATGTTAAAAAGATGTGCATTCCTTTCTGGCCTCAGAGAATGGGACAGTATCAATCATCCATATTTAAGTAACTCAGGTGTAAACAAAAGGGAGTTAAAGTCTCGATTCAGGCGTCCTTCTTTCTTTCTTTTTCTTTTTTTTTTTTTTTTGAGGAAGATTAGCCCTGAGGTAACTACTGCCAGTCCTCCTCTGTTTTTGCTGAGGAATCCTGGCCCTGAGCTAACATCCCTGCCCATCTTCCTCTACTTTATATGTGGGACGCCTACCATAGCATGGCGTGCCAAGCGGTGCCATGTCCACACCCAGGATTCGAACCGGCGAACCCCGGGCCACTGAGAACTGGAACATGGGAGCTTAACCACTGCGCCACTGGGCAGGCCCCAAGGCGTCTTTCTTTCTTCCTGCTTCAGAGAGAAGACTCCAATTTGAGCAGAGGAGAAAGCACTTCAGTGTGAAGGACACTCCACATTGACACAGTGCTTTAACTCAGGTAAGAGTTGAGTATTCTGAAAAGTCAAAGAGGGACTTAGATATTGTTTACAGTGTTTACTGCAAGGCAGAGGATACGTAACTCCCATTTTACTGAAGAAACCAGAAGGTCGAAGTCCTCCGGAGAGGTGTGGTAAAGGGGGGAAAAGGTCATGATAATGCTGACCAAACATTCTGAGTCTAGTGTACCACCTGGCAGTATCATCTGTGGAAAAGAAAGTGTGCTGATTTCCAAAGGCTTTCACCATGAAATGATCATCAAATCTGGGGCATTTACTCTGGGAAATGTGCACAGTATTCTAGGCAAGTATTTATAAATAGTCATTCTCCCAAAGGAAAGACGATGAGGAGCAAAAACTGCTGTGTGTTGCAACCCTTTGATAAAAGAAAACACTTTAGCTGGGAAAGAACACTGTCACTGTCATTGCTCTGAAGGCCATTCTGTTTAATGGAAAAAATGTACCCAAAGAGAAAACTGAGAAAACTGGCCAAATAGACTGTAACAATTAACACAATTTTTTACAAGCAGACAAAATGTTTTCATTTCATGGGCATGGAGAATAATTTGATTGTTCAGGGAAAAAACAAAAAGGAAAAGTCCAATGGTAGTTTATAGAAAAGTTTTCTTCCAAGAGGGAGTAATTTTTGAGGTAACCATTAACTATATTAAATTTTTCATCATAATATAAGCACATGGTGTATAAATCAGAACTCATTATCAAATATCACCACTCATTATCAACATTAACAAGATTGGAAAAAATTAATTGACATAATTAAAATAATTAATTTTAAATTGCTAATTAATTAAACAATTATATTCCATTTGTAGAAAAGATAGACATCATCATCAGCCTTTGATGGCTACACTGCAGTCTTAAAACATTCCTAATTTTTAAATCTGGATTATTATTTTTTCCCACTTTAAGTCTTACCAGGAGATCTAAAAGGATCTTCCAATAATTCAGTCAGACGCTGGAATCTGACAATGGTACAGGAGTACCAAGGTTTGTAAAGATAACCGGCTTATTTAGAGTCTACAAAAATACACTTTGAAGTATTTTAGCTTGGGAGAAGGGGACTGTTTCACCAAGTGCTTTCTCCCTTTCATCTGAGAGATAGAAAATGTATACATTTAAATAGTATTGTATTTCCACTTGTCTCCAACGAATACTGAGAATATTAATGTGATCATGCACAAAACACATTGAGCTCTTGAATAGAAGTTGTCTACTTATAACCAGAATTCTAGTAAGTACACATGCACTGTGCCAGTTTTCCATATTGATTTAATTCAGAAGTGTGGACTGTATGAGGTGCCTGAGTTACTGTTTCATCATTCTGCCAGCCCTCCCCCCTCCCAACTCTCTCTTCATCCTTGTAAGTCACTTCGCCACTCTGCCACCTTCACTACTAGGTGCCTCTAATCTCTCTGATTGTCTGCTATCATTCTTGTGAGCTACACCTGGAACTCTTTCTATGACAATCTCATTTGAATCCACTCAGTCTCTTTGAGGGACATTTCAAATCAATTGAGTCCTTTTTATCACCTTCCTTCACCACATTTTTTGCTTTATCAGAAACTTGGCATTTCCTAAACATCAACAGTCATCTTGCTCAAGTGCTTATTATGAAAAGGCCAATTGTCTCTCCTGGCTCCTGATTATGCGAAAGAAGGTAATGAGGGCATGGTTCTTGCTGGCCAGGTCACTTTTCATTTAAAATATTGGCAGTAGGGGCTGGCCGAGTGGCAGAGCGGTTAAATGTGCATGTTCCGCTTTGGTGGCCCGGGGTTCACTGGTTAGGATCCCAGGGTAAAGGAAGATGGGCATGGATGTTAGCTCAGGGCCAGTCTTCCTCAGCAAAAAGAGGAGGACTGGCAGCAGTTAGCTCAGGGCTAATTTTCCTCAAAAAAAAATATATATTGGCAGTAGAGTCGAAAGAACACAGACTCTGCATGAATCACCTTGAGTAGGTCATTTAATTTCTCTGAGCCGTGGTATCTTCATTTGTAAAATGCACAAAACTTCAATTTTTCTAGGCTTCACTCACTTGTGTTTACAGATGGAGTCATGTTAATAACAGTTACAAAGATTTCATTTAAATTCTCCCTTATCTGCTCACTCAGCATCCATCTACCAAATCAGAACAGAATCTTCAGAATAAGTCTTACATCTATTCATGGGCAGGTCCATTCTCCCTGACATTGCCACTGCTCTACTGGGTTCTGCTTCAATTAGCTGTTTGGCCAGGCATCACATAGCTAAAGAGGGGAGTTTGTTAAAATGCAGTTTCTGAAGCAGTAGACCTGGGTTGAGGCTTGAGGTTCTGAGAAGCCAAATCTGAGAAGAAAATTTTGTCATTTGTGACAGCATGGGCGGACCTTGAGGGCATTAGGCTAAGTGAAATAAGTCAGACAGAAAAAGACAAATACTGTATGATCTCACTCATATGTGGAATCTAAAACTATGGAACTCACAGAAACAGAGAGTAGAGTGACGGTTGCCAGGGGCAGTGGGTTGGGAGAAATGAGTGAAGGTGGTCAGCAGGTACAAACTTCTAGTTATAAGAAGACAAAGTTCTGGGGATGTAATGTACAACATGATGACTACAGTTTCTGCTGTATGATCTATTTTAAAGTTGTTTAGAGAGTAGGTCCTAGGAATTCTCATCACAAGGGAAAAAAACTTCTTTTTGTATCTATATGGGATGACAGATGTTAACTAAACTCACTGTGGTAATCATTTCACAATATATGTAAGTCAAGTCAATATGCTATACACCTTAAACTTACACAGTGCTGTATGTCAATTATATTTCAATAAAACTGGAGAAAAAAAGAAAAGAACTATTCACAACTATCCCCTTCATGCACGAGATTCTTTTAATTTTTCCCCTAGCCTCTACAATTTTCCCAGAAACCAATATCTCAAATATTTCTCAATTGTAATAATTTTCTACCTGATTTCTCTGGCTCATTCCCTTCCTTAAGCAATGACATAGCCTAATTCCCCCACAATAAAATTCCCATGATGGTTTTTAGCTTCAGAAAATATTTTAATAGTTCACCTTTTCTATGATATAAAAGAAAATCTTATAAATATATTATTAATCACATAAAATGTAAACAGGTCAATATTTCATTTTAAACACAAAGATTGAGAGAATTTTTTTAAAAAAGTATATTCTGTTTGTAATAGTCATACCTTAAGAAGGAGGACATAGAAAAGTTGAAAATAAAGAGATGGAAAAAGATAACTTCCCCACAAAAAGAGCTGGTGAAGCTGTATTTATATCAAAGTATATTTTAAAACAAAATCCTTTAGTTCAAATAAAGATAAAAAATTTAGTAACAATGAGTCAATACACAAGGGAAATATTAAAATTACCAAAATCTCTGCTTTTAACAACAGAGCCTCTAAATATTTAAGCAAAAACTGACAGAACTCAAAGGAGAAATAGACAAATCCATAATCACAGTGGCATATTTTAACACGTCTCACAGTAATTATAAGATAGTCAATATTAATAAGAAGATTTCTGCTTCTGATTGGAAGTAGAAAGTTCCTTAAAAGATTATTGACTTTTGAAAGCAAAAATAATAACAATGTATTCTGGAGTTTATAGAACATGCTGATGTAAAATACATACCAATAATTGTACAAAGAGGAGGAAAGAGTACTGGATAGATATGATGATGAATATTACAGACAGACATTAAAGATGAACGTTGCAAATTCTAGAGTAATCACTAAAACATAGTAGATGTGTACCTGCAGATATAAAGGAATTGAGATGATATTTAAAAACATTCAGTTTGTACAGAAAATAAACAAGGAGGAATAAAGAAGAGATGAGACACACAGAATGCCAATAACACTGTAATTAAAGGAGAGATTGTTAGAATATATAATAAGGTAAAGACACCGACAAGTTAAAAGTAAAAAGACTGGAAAAAAAAATACCTTGCAACCACTGATCATAAGAGACCTCTCAGGGTGAAACCATATCCCAGACTGACATGTGCGAGAAAGGGAGCCTTCAGCTTCTTGGCTGCTCATGCCCATCGGAAAGCTTCCATAACATGGAGCTGGGTGGTGGGGGCAGAGGGGGCGGTAATGGAGCTAGTCATGGCTCAAATGCCACAGTGTCTCCCTGTTCTGTTGGAGATATAGTAGAGATTCTTGAGTGGATGTTTCTCTGTTTGCTGTATGCCCATAGGGTAATTTCCACAGACTTTAAGTGATAATGTTTTATAATTTTCACTTAACTTGTTTTGCAAGGGAGTTCTGCCAAGCTTTTTACTTCATCATCCTGCAAGTTAATCAACCACCATTCATTTTTGAAAAGCACTAATTTCATTTGGTCAAATGTGAAAAAATAAAAGGATTATTCCTTTAGGTCTTAATATGCTAAGATTCAATAAATAATAAAATCATAATAATTTCATATATTTAACTCATAAAATATAGATCTTGCATTGAAAGCATGAAGTAGAAGAAAAGCACAAGATATATATATATCTTATATATCTCATATATTTTACATATATATATATATAAAGCACGATGGAATATCTTTTATTGATCAAATTGAATATTATTGGTTTTGTCCCTACATATTAAACAGGCGTGAATAGAAACAATAAATCATCAAAAATGGTCCCTAACATTTTGTGGGAGAAAATACGTATATTCACATACCCCAAATTCTACAATTTCAGAGGGTTTGTGGCACTCCTGAAGCTCATTCACAAATCCCAGTGAAAGGATTCTTGTATTCAAGGAACATCTAATGAGCATCATCTAAAAACAGAAAGATATTTGAGTTGCCAGAACGATGAAGAGACTGAAGGTTATAACTTGATTTTCAACTTGGATCCATAAGACGGATACATAACATGTAAGAAATGTGTTGCTATATTGAGTCTAATTATCTATTTGTGAGAGAAACACACAGGCATTAGATGGGATCAAATAATTAAAACATGATCTGTACTCTTTTAGAAGTATTTGATTAAAAGCTAAGTGAAATTTTCAGTCCAGTGCAATTAGGTGTCTGGATGAAGCGCACAGAGCTGTTTCTGTCAGAAAGAATGCCCTTAAACTGATCTGAAGGAAGGGTAGGATTTGAAAAAACAGAAAGGAATAGGAATAGAATCTTACACACGAGACAGAGGTGAACTTAAGGGGCAAATCAAACACAGGAAGAAGTGAATAAAAATAACTAGTATTTGTAGAGTGCCTACTATATGCCAAACACATTTCTAAAGCATTTTACCTGTGTTAACCTCATTTACTCCTAACAATATCTAGTAAGGTAGTCACTTACAATCTCAATTCTACAAATAAGGAGATGGTGGCATCCAGAAAATAAGTACTTGTCTTAGGTCAGCATGTACAGCTGGAATTTGAACATGAATTAAACTTCTGGCTTCCAGAAAGAGTACTATTAAGAAGAGAGGAAATAAGTCTGGCTAGACCTAGCCCATGGCCAGATGCTGAACAAATAGGTTTAGAATCAAGATTTGGCTCTGAAGTATTTGATCTCTTCTGCACATATGGTGAGATATTAGAGTTTCCTGGGCTTGGAAGTCATACCACAAAGCGATGTTTTAGAAAGATTTACTTAACAGTCTTGTTTGAAGAGAGGTGAATTGTTGAAAGAGGTACTGGAGTGAAAGAAACAAGGATTAGTTGCTTGAAGAGAGACCGGGATGCACAAACAGGGGTGACAAGCTAAAGACGCTGGTATCTAAGTTGCAAGGGCAGCCAACAAGCGAATTGCTAGGAGCAGGAAAAAAGAGAAATATTTTGAAGAGGAAAATGCTAGTTGGTTGCTCTGCATTTTTAGGCTAAAATGATTATTAGTTGCCCATTAAGATAATTTTTAGGCTTTAGAAAAGAAAGCACATATTTTCATCTTAGACAATTATCTTATTAAGAACTTGATTTCTTTTTAAATTATAAAATTTCTTGATAATAGTAATCTCTTTTCATGACTTTGTCGAATATTATAAACATCCTGTTCTCAGTGTATTCTCATATTAGAAAATGAATTCCCTTTGTAGCAAAGGGTGACCTTTATTATTAGACCTACAGAACTAATAATAAATTAAAAGAAAAATAGATATTAATATTTTTTACTTTGAAATCCTCATGGTCCATTTTGCTAACATTTTTGTCCTTGCAGAAGAAGCAGTTCAAAGTTTTTACAAAATAATAAAATACAACCTTTAAAAACTAAAATAGAACATATAAGAAATGATAGCACAATGTAATAGAATTCATCATCATTAAAGGAATACTGGCTGAAAGTTCGATAATAGAAAATTTAGTCTGATTCTCTCACTATCTTGCTTTCTGACATTATGCCAAAGTATCTTCCTGGGTCTTATTTTACTATCTGCTAAAATAAAAATGATGGACAAATTTTGGGCCTCTCCAGTAAGGAATTAAGATTTTATAACTCAATCAAAAATAAACTGTCCCCAACTTAGAACAGTTCGACTTATGATTTTTCAGCTTTACAATGGTACAAAAGCAATATGCATTCAGTAGAAAGCACACTTCAAATTTTGAACTTTGATGCTTTCCTAGCTAGCAATATGTGGTACAATCCTCTCTCGTCATGCTGGGCAGAGGTAGCAAGCACAGCTCCCAGTCAGCCACACTATCACAAGGGTGAACAACCAACACACTTAGAACCATTCTGTACCCAGACAGCCATTCTGTTGTTCACTTTCAGTACAGTATTCAGTCAATTACATAAGGTATTCAACACGTTATTATAAAATAAGCTTTATGTTCGATGATTTTGCCCAACTGTACGCTAATGTAAGTGTTCTGAGCACGTTTAAGGCAGGCTAGGCTAAGCTGTGATGTTCAGTAGGTTAAGTATATTAAATGCATTTTTGACTTAACAATATTTTCAATTTATGATGGGTTACCAGGATGTAATCCCATTGTAAGTTGAGGAAGATCTGTGTCACCAAAGATGAAACTCAAAACAATAAACTTCAGAGGCCCAAAGGCCCACTGTGCCAAAGTAATAAATAAAATTAATATTGTTACAGATGGCTTGAAACATGCTATAGATAAAAATTTTTACTTTGAACTTCTCAAAGGGATACTTCCCCTAATTAACCTTTTATAAGTTCAATTTATTTTTCTGAATGGTTAATACATTTATGCCATTCACTTATCAAAAACACAAACAAAATTATACAATTAAAATTGTCCTAATTCCTATACTCATACACCCAGGTCCTATATGACACCTCCGATAATATGTTTCTTCCAGCAGTTCTTTATATATATATATATATATATATATATATATATATATGTGCATATATAAATGTATATTTTTATCGGGCTGCATTTTTACCCTATGATATTGTACTTTACATACTGTACAGCAACCTGACTTTTTAACTTAACAGCATAGCTTGGCTATCTTTCACCTCTCTGTTTACAGAGCTTTCTTATTCTTTTTATAATTATTAGAGTTGGAGAGCTTTCCATTGTATGGACACCCCTTAGTTCATTTAACTGTCAAACACTATGGAAATTTACATTGTTTCCACTATTACACTAAGGCTACAGTGAAGATTTCTGTACAAACTTTATTTCATGCATATGTGACCACAGGACTTGTAATAAATCCCTGGGAGAAGGAATGGCTGGGTTAAAGCGTGCATATAGTTTTAATATTTATAGACCTTTCAAAATCATCCAACATGGAGCTGTACTGCTTACCTTCTCACAGACAACAAATGAGAGTGTCATTTGGCTCCTAATAACCATCCTAGTCGTGTGGGTTTAACAAGCTTACGGATGTTCACAATCCAAAAAAATTCTATCTGTGTTGCTTTAATTTGAATTTCTATTAGGATTCTGATGGACATTAGGCTTAGGATTAAGACATTATTTCCTATGTATAAGAGCCATTTTATCATATTTCATTAGATGTCTTCCCTTTTGTATGAGTTTAATTTTTGTCTTCTTCTTGACTTCTAGAAACTTTTAGCAGTATTATGAAATTTCTGTGATATGAGTTGCAAATAGTTTCCCCTGCCTTTGCATTTGATTTCAGTATTGTTTGCTGTACAGATTTTATTCTAACGTACCTGATTTTTCTAATCTAATTATTCTTCCTTCTGCGGGTTCCAGATTAGGGATTATGGTTATGAAGCACTGCTCCATTTTAAGATTATAAATTTTCTCTGGTTTTCTTCTTATATTATTAAGATTTCATATTTACATATAAATGTTTTTATCTATTCATCTTGGTAAATGGTTTAGATATGGAGCACTTTTTTTTTTTTGCTAGTTTGCTACCCATTTCTCACCACGCTGTTCACAAATCAGTCATTTGGCTCTGTGAACAAAATTACGTATTTTTATTACATAGCTGCCAAGATTATTCATCCTGAGTTTCCACTTTTTTTTTCTTCTCTTATGTATATAGGGCATAATTGCTTGAAAAAACTAAGGAAGTACCAATAAATGTATGCATATATATGTATATATTTATATTCATAAATAAATGAAATGTTTAGAAGAATAAAAGCCGGAGCTAAACACAACAGATAAAGTCAGTGGTATTCAGTGAAGTATATGGTGCCCTCGGCTGGGTTATTCTTCAGGAAATTGAATTCCTATGTAAATTCTGCTGGGTACCTGGTAAAGATACCAACTATAAAATATTTACTTCAAACCTGAAAGACATTAATTCTAATGTGTAAGTGTAATTACATGAAAAAAATTATTCTCTTATAAGCGATTTGTAAAGCTGTCTTGAACTTGAGGAGAGTATTCTGTGTGGAAAATTCTAAAGCTTTTTGGGGTAGTGGCAAAACCCAAAAAGACATGTGTAATTAATAATAGATGCTTTTTAAACTACCTTCAAAGAAGTTCCTGTCGACCTAGGATTTTTTATTAAACTCGATAGTATTGTGGGACAACAGGGGGGCTACAACATGAGAGAAAGACAGGAAAAGAAAACACACACACATTTAATCACCCAAGGTCACAGAGTAAGAAACTTTGGATGAAAAATTGAGTACTGAATGCCAATTTCAAGTTCTTGAAGTTGAATATGTAATATAGTCTCTTTCTTAAGTCTCCCCTACAAAATTTTCAATCTAAATTACAACAAAAACATTAAAAAATGCATTTTGTGATATCTGACATATAATTAAAATGAAGACCTAAAATGAAAATAAATAGTTTTAATTGAGTCATCTGATGCAAACTACTGAAATGCTGTTAAGAACGGCTATTTATAATCAATCATTATACGCCAAGTGAGCACTGTTGGAAGCATTTCCCTTATATGAACTCATTTATTCCTCAAGTAACCAAAAGAGCTGGATATTATTATTATCCCCATTTTATAAGACAGGAAGCTGGAGCAAAAGGGATTTAATAACATGCCCAAGGTTCTACAGCCGGTAATGATCCAGCAACGCTGTAACAAAATGAAAAATGACAGCTTCAATACCAGGTCTGGCATGAAGGGATCTAGAATAGACTGTAGAAATAGCTATAGAGCCCTAATGAACACAGCCAAGATGTCCACTGCACATTATCGAAAGTACCCTGTATGTTCAAGAATCACAAGTCACCAGCTATAAATGGCTATAACTGTCAGAAGTCATGCTCAGTAGCTGTCAGTATAAGTCAAAACTAGAAGACAGGATCCAGTCCTAATTAAAGGAAGACTCAGAGAAAGAGGCCACCAGTCCAAACTTAGAGGGTGAGTAGGAGATGTTGGCTGACCAAAGAATTTTATAGATAGA